AAAAAAAAAAAGGATAATGGACTACAACTACTTATGGGCAACGTATATATAACGCAGACTTTCGGCTAAAAGTTTTTGGAAAATTCTATTAAAGAGGGAGGTAACAGGTAATATTGATCGTCTATATTTAAGTTTTGGTCGGAAGAATATAATTGTGCAATATATACTTGTACCAACGAGAGATAACAAGTACCCAATAAAATAATCAAGGTGCATGCAAGTTGGCGTGGGCCATAATTGAAGGAAAAAACTCAGGGTTGATCTTGCAAGCGAGCGCGGAGTAATTATTCCTAACATCTTAAAATGGTCACTTGATGGTGGCCAAATCTTATTCATTTGCATTTAAGTTTTTTTTTTAAGTCTAAAAAGTGTTTGGGCGCTCTATATACGATGTAGACTCCAAACACATACACTTTATTAATGAGATAATTTATAGTGACATAAATTTGTACGCTTTATTTTACATTAAAGTATTTTTTTTCTTTCTTAAACTTCGTACTTAATCAAACACCATCAATATCACATAAGTTGGGACTAAAGAAGTACTACTTTTTAGTCAAATGCATAAGATTCCGTTTTTTAGTATGATCAATGTGATATCTACATATTTTGAAAAAAGAAAAGAAAATTTTTTGGAACTGTTTTATATTTGAATATTAACAAATTAACTCTTACAAACATTCAAACTAAACAGAGTTTATTTACTTTTAAGTTTACTAGTCTTAGGGTACGCGCGTGTTCCCCACATCAATAAGTAAATAATTTTTAAAAACTCACATAAATATTATATTAAACAGTATCTTCGAGTTCTAATAAAAATAAAATATATAACTTTCTAAAAGTATATATGTTGATCCCAAATCTAACCCAGTGAAAGTACTTAAGTTTTGTAAGAATATATTATGAAAAGTTTTGTTATTTTTATGTCTTAATATCGAACAAACAAGTAACACAATTACTTTTATCACGACGAGTTGGCATGTAATTCCTATAAAATTTAATAAGTGAAAATTTAAGTTTTAAATTGACTATTGTTGAGTCAATAATTTACAATAATAAACTAATATATAAGTATATACGGAGTTGTCATTTGTTAGAATATTTGTAAAAAGAAAAAGAAAAATAATTAACAATAACTCATTTAGAATATATTTCATCTTCTATTATTTAATCCTTAGTATTTCAAGTTTGCATACGTCAATAGAAAGATATTTATTGATTATATGTTATTTTACAATTATTGAGTAAATTCTATACATTTATAGACGATGTTTGCAAGTCAAAAGTTATTGAGTGTAGCTTTAAATATTATATAAAAATTTTAAAAAATAAAATTTTAATTAATTTTAAAATCCTAAATACTAAAACATTTAACATGGAATGTATTATAATTATGGTACAAACTTCAAAAAAGTAAATAATTTATTTAAAGTAAAATCTTAATTGATTCAAAATTTAAAATATTAGAGTTTTTTAATCTAATTCAAATAAAGAGTTATTTAATAACTAAAACTTTAGTTGATTTAAAAGTTTTAATATTAAATAAATAATTAAATATCGTGAACATAATTTGTATCTAAAAATATAAAATAATTAATAAAGGAGCTAAATCAATATTAAACTTACATTGAAATCCTTATCAAATGCTCATTCCTAATGTCTATATACGTTGAATAAAGGGGAAAAATTTACAAACAAATTGTTTGAATGGTATAAGGTCAACTTAATTAATTACTCATTTAAGTAAAATGTCAAAATAAAAAAAGTGACTACTACCTTAAGTCATAATGTTAACAACACACGTTTATAAGACAAAAAAGTTTTGGTGGGATTAATCTACATAACTAAAATAAGGAAAAATTTACTAATAAGTCAAATTTTAGTTAATTTTAAAGTCCTAGATATTAGAAAGTTAATTAAATGACTATTCCTAAATAGTAGAAAATTAATTAAATGAATATTCCTAAATATTAGAAAAATAATCGAATGACTATTTTGTCTAGTGTAAACTTTAATTTTGAAGGGTAAAAAAGGCGAACGATATTTTGCTAAGGATCTTCGTGTTATTAATATAGTACTAGTCTCTACGGTCGTGCGATGCACGAATATCTTATGTCAAATATTATGAAACGCATATAAAAAAAAAACTTTCAATTGCATAATATTCTAAAATTAATTAATTGCATAATTTCATAATATTATGAAATTTAATATGTACAAAGTTTAATAATTTGTTTCCTTAGAACAAAAAAGATATAATATACAATCCAAATGAACAAATTAATAATGTTTTGGCATAATGAAAGGACAAAATAGAACTAAATATTATGGAATTATACAATTATGCAATTAAAGTTGTAAAATCACTTAAAGAATACAACAATACTTAAGATTATTTTTTTGATTCAATATTTTTTTTGATTTAATTAAGCATTAACGATTCAGATACATGAAAATCATATTTACTCAAGATATATTAGTAACAAAGAAACCAAAAATAGAAAGGGTATGTAGTCATTCATACCTTCTGTTGGTATTTTTTTCTGTTGCACGTTGTCCTATTTCAATTATTACAAAAGTCATATTTAATAAAATATAAATTCTTAACTCTACAAATATTCAAAAGAAAATTATATTGTTACAGCTAGAAAATAATTTAACTCCAATCCTGATCAATCCAATCTCTAGTTAAAAAGCATGTGAATTTTACATTCCGTAGGTTCCTAACAAAATAAATAAAAGGTATCGAAGAACTTTCCAAATATTCTATCGTGAAAGGAAAAAATACCTATTCAAGAAGGAATTATGATATTTTACTCGAAGGAAAAATATTAGTATTTGTAAACAATTTCCTAATACGTAAATAAAAACAAATCACTTTCCAGGAATGAATGAAATTTATATGAAGTTCCTTACACAATAAAAAGGTAAAAAAGAGTTCTTAAAATTCCTAATGTAAATAAGAAAGAAAGAAAGCTCTCCAAGTAGGAATCTCATATTCTCCCACAAAATTATGTATTTGTTGTAATTAGGAACAATAATTTTTTTAAAAAGAAAATTATGGACATGCTTTTCTAATCCAAGTAGGATCAACTTTGTAGGGTCGGTGTATGTGTAGCTTAAATTGAAAAAGAATTTCATAATTGATAATTTATAATTAGATCCTTAAATTATACAAATACTTAAAGACATAAAAGTCGATTAATATTTCAGGGATATTTTGGTCGTTCAACATTTTGTATAAATTATTCGTACTTTTATAATAATATAGATAGATAGATAGATAAATTAAAAATTTTAAGGAATAAACGAATTGATATTCAGATCAAAAAAGAAAATTGACCAATGCGGCTTAAGTACAATTAAGTCATTTTTATTTTAGGAGTACCTTTCATTACAATGATTTGAAATCTAGTTATAATTATTAATCGAGTTTTAGGATGTAAAGGAAAGTCAAAGGATAGAAATTCGAAATATCAAAGGTCAGCGGCATTAAAATACTACTTTACGAAAAGTATTCATTTGACAGCTAGCAAAGTACAAGTCTTTTCTGAATGTGACCGTCATCTCTGTCTTAATAATCTTTTCTTCAAGTTCATGTACGTTTTTTGGGTACTCATATTGGAATAAATTTGAATTCACATCATATAAGGTAATTAAAGGAAGAAGCTACACGGTTTTTTTTCTTATTTATACTAAGAACTCGAACTGAAGACCATTGCTTAACCGATACAGTTTCATGATTTGAAATTTATAAGTTTCTATAGCAACTTCAAGTTAATATACAATAATAATTGGATACATATTAAAATATTTAATAACATTTAGTAAATTTCTTAAATATATATATACAAGACTTGAATAAAAACTACTAGGTTCATATTAACATATAAGTGTCATTGTACATTCCCTTTTCTGGTTCGTGGAAAGATCCTACCCATTCCCACTAGAGATATAGTCTTTTGCCTACATGTTCAACTGAACACATAACTTTCGACAAGCAGTATGGATTGATATGTAAAAATCTAAATCTTAACAAGTGTTAGGTTTGAACCCATAATTTTAACAGTACAATGAATTCAATGCTAAAAAACTTAAAAAATTAAAATATATTAAATTTAAATTTGGATCCGCCTAAAACTACTGGAAGAACTTAGCAAAGGATCGGGGTTGGGGAAATCGCCAAAGGAGGACCTCAATTCTGGCATCAAACTAACTGGATCACCGACAAGTGGAGGTAATTCCAATAGGGTAGCAACGACTACATCGTCGGGTAAGGGAATTGATGGACCAGGGAGTAGCTTATCAACACCAAAGGGGATGAGCAGTGCAATGACAGGGTCTGAGGTGCAATTGAACAAAATGTGGCTCAAATATCTGTTAACCCACCAGTACCATAGGGGCGACGTTGGTGCAATCAGGGACACATAATAATTCAAAATTGAAAGGGATTAGGGGGCTAGG